CTTGCCTCTGCCTCCTGAGCTGGGATTAAAGGAGTGTGCCACCATGCCCGGCTTCTACCACAAACTTTGTGAGTGTCTCTGTCTGTATTTGCATCCATGTGTGCACACACACATATAGAGGACAAAAGTTGGCATTGAGAAGTTTCCCCAATCATTCTCCATCTCCTTTTTGTTTTTTTGAGACAGGGTTTCTCTGTATAGCCTTGGCGGTCCTGGACTCGCTTTGTAGACCAGGCTGGTCTCGAACTCACAGAGGTCCTCCTGCCTCTCTGAGTGCTGAGATTATAAGCACGTGCTACTGCTCCCGACATTTTTTTGTTTGTTTGTTTTTTTTAAAGAAAATTCTCTGTATGGATTTTCAGGTGTATACACCCACAGTGCATGTGTGGAGATCAGAGGTCAACCTCAGGAGTATGTTTTAACCTTCTATCTTGCTTAAAGCTGGGATCTTATCTGCTGTTGCATATAACAAGCTGCCCTTGAGCTCCCAGGGACTCTCCTGTCTTTGCTCTGTCTCACAGGAGGAGTGCCGGTACAAATGAGTGCTACTGTGCTAGGCTTTGTGTGCCCTCTGGAGATTGAACTCAGGTCCTCAGTCTTGCCCGAGAGGTGACTTATCTACTAAGCTATCTCTTCAGCTCTTCAACTCTTTAAATTATTTTTCTTTAAATTCAGTTATCGGCTCCACACAGCAACAGTTCAAAACAAATACTGAGAGTCACAGGCAAACACAGGATGAAGCAAAGGGAGTCTAGTGGAAAGAGGGGGGAGGGACAAATGGACATAGAGGTGACAAGAGCTCCACAAGAAGACCGTCAGAGCCAATCAACCAGGACTCAGAGGGGCTTGTGGAGTCTGAAGCACCAACCAAGGACAATGCATAGACTGGATGTAGGTCCTCTACATATATGTAACCGATGGGCAGCTCAGGCTTCATGTGGGGTCACTAGTAAGGGGAGCAGAGGCTGTCTCTGACACGGACTATGTTGCCTGCTTTCTCACCACTTCCTGCTGATGGGACCCTACCAGGCCACAGGGGAAGAAGACAAACCCAGTTCTCATGTGACTAGATGTGCTAGAGTGTGTGGATAGGGGGGCTCTCCTATTTTGAGGAATAGGGGAGGGTGTGTGCGAGAGGAGAGAGGGAGAGGCCTATGACCAAGATGTAAATTGAATAAACTAATTAATTAATAAAAAAGAAATTCATTATCATGTGGGGTGGAGGTGGGAGGGTGGGGGTGGATGCTTGTGCCATGAGATACTTGCAGAGAGCAGAGGATACTTGATCTTGGTCTAAGGACAACTTCAACTTGTAGGAGTGCTTCTCTCCTTCCACAATGTGGGTTCTGGGGACTGAGCCAGCTCTCTAATCCCATCTCTGCCTCTACCTCATTTTCAGACAGGCTGTTTCACCCTGAAACTTGGAGCTGGTTATGCTTATTGGCCAACAAGCCACACACACACAAATACATAATTCTTTTTAAAGAACTTCTGTGTAAGTGGAGCAGTATTGGCATGATCCTGTAATCCCAGCACTCAGAAGGCAGAGGCAGGAGGATCTCTGTGAGTTTGAGGCCAGCCTGGTCTACAGAATGCTACAGAGAATATTTTGTCTTAAAAAACCGAAAGGGGGTGGAGGGAGGGGCTAGAGAGATGGCTCAGTGGTTAGGGGCTCTTCCAGAAGTCCTAAGTTCAATTTCTGGCAACTACATGGTGGCTCACAACCACCTATAATTTGATCTGATGCCCTCTTCTGGCATGCAGGTGTACATGCAAACAGAACACTGTTACATTGAAACTAAATAAATAAATAAAAGAGAGCAACTAAAAAAAAAAAAAAGAGGACCTTGTGTGTAAACCTGATTTTCTCCAGAAGACCCTGGCCTCCTCTGTCCAGAGACCTGCAGAGCTCTGGCCAGGGTGTGCAGTGATGCTGCTTCCACAGGACCTCACACCCTTTCCCACTTCATCTTTTCAGAGATGAGGGGGGGAACCCAGGGCCCTGAGAATCCTGGCCAAGCGCCAAGCCTCTGAGCTGCACCTCAGAGGCCGACAGTAAACTACTAATAGATGACTTACAATGCTTAAGAAAAGAGGCACTTGTCCCTTCACTTTCCGGAACTCAGCACAGTATTTTGCATATGGCAAGGCCAAGTTGCCACTGGACCCTTCTAAAATCTGAGGTGGAAGAGAGGGTTGCATTGCTAATTTACAGCAAACTGCAGCTATGTTCTTGTGCAGCCCTTGGAGCTGGCAGTGGTGAGTGGTGAATGAATGGGCAGGAGAGCTGGTAGGCAGAGCTGGGAAAGCCTGGTAGCTGCTCATCTTACCTTCTGTTTGTCCAAGATCTTCATGGCATAGTGGTTCCCGCTCTCCTTGTGCTTCACAAGCATCACACGCCCAAAAGAGCCAGTACCAAGGGTCTTGAGTCTATCAAACTGATCCAACTGGGCTGTATTCTGCACGTAAGGACAGAAAGGGTCAGGGTACCTCCCTGAAGCCTTCTGAGCTGGGGAGTCCCCTGTGTCACCGGCAGAGGGGGCCCTGGGGAGTGGGTGGAGATGACCCAGGGGACATTCTTCCAAGCAGGGTAGCAGGGGCCAGATCCGGCCCTGGCCTGGGGCCCAGGAGCTGCTAGCAGCTGCATGGAGAACAGGGGCTGCCAGGTGCAAGGATACAGTGGGGTGGGGCCCAGCGATGAGAGGCAGGGGTCACCATGGGTGAGAGAGAAGGGAATAAGACAGGCCTGGGGAGGGCACACAGTGACAGAACACACAGTCTGGCCCCCGGGTACTGCTCACTCTGAGGTACTCACCTGAGAAGGGCTCTCCCATTTTTTCAGAAAATCTTCCTTGGCTTTGGCTAAGAACTCTTTCACTGAGGGAGAGAGAATAAGGTTAGGTGAAGAGTCCTTGCTTCAAGGCACATCAAGTTTTTCCACGCTGGTGGAAAATGAGGTACAGATGTTTCAAGCCACCCGATATTTTACTAGTGTCTTTGGAGGGGGGATCCTAAATGCAACTTGGGGAATCTTGATTGGACCAGTACCCGAGTATCCTACTAATTACAGAGCTGGGTCTCAGATTCTGGTACTATCTGAATAGGGTTCATGGAGACTCAGGCACACAGGCCAGCCCACCCCACTCTCCCCACACTAACAGACATTCCTTGGCCTGGGTTCTGCCAGCTGAGGTATTAATAGCCTCTGATCTGGCTGCTCCTCTGTTGAGGCCAGGCCTTGGTGGAGGCCTGTAGGACTACTGTAGCAGGTGCCCTTGGGGGGCTCAGCTGTCACCTTGGTCCCCGCTGGCTCTGTGCCTGCCTTTGCTGAGGGGAGAACTCTCACCCCTGAACTACTTCGCTGGGTACCTCCCTTCAGGCACACTCCACCCTGGCCCCTACAGCACCCTGAGGCCAGCATCTCATTTCCGAATGTAGAAGCTGTCCCTGGAGACTGGCTAGGGCACCCATTTCATCTATACTCTTATTTGGTCTGCTTGACAACCTTCCGTACATCTGTTTTAACCACTTAATAGCTCAGGAAAATGAATGCGGTCTGAGGACAGCTCATTGTTGTGTATGGCTACTGAGAGGCAGCTGAGGGCCAGGACTTCAAGGTGATAACTCAGATACTCTGTCTGGATCCTGATGGGCTGTGTGTCTTCGGACAACTGATCCCATCTCTCTGGGTCTCAGTTTTTCACATGAGCAAATGGGGATGAAGCAATGCTAGGGAGTGAGTCGTAATTCCACTCTGGCAAGGGGAGCTGGACAGTGACCTGGCACCAGGTTTATGGTACAGAAATGTCAGCTATTCTCTGTGAGGGTTAATCTTAGTTGGCAACTTACATCGGGAATCAACTAAGACCCCAGCAGCTAGGCACACCTATGAGGGGTTTTTCTTAATCAGATTATTTGAAATGGGAAGACCCACCGAAATCTGGGCCACACTGTCTGATGGCAGCCCACCTAGAAAATGACATGGAAGAAGGAAGCTTTGCCTTTTGCCTGCTTGCCCTCACTCACACTGGCAAGTTCATTTGTCCTTTGCTGGTATTAGAACCCACTTCTTCAGTATTCCAGTATAGACTGAAGACCATCGCCTGTTCAGGGATCTTCCAAAACTAGACTGAGACAGTTGACACATCCAGTCTTGGGACTGAACAACTACCCAAACTACAGACTGTAAACCAGTCTAATAAATCCCATATATTTATTTATTTCTATCCGTTCTGTTCCTTTAGAGAGCTATGACTAATAATCTCTTTATTTTATTTATTTCTTTATTTTGAGGTAAGGTCTCAGTCTACATACCCCTGGCTACCCTGGAACTCACTACGTAGAACAGATTAGCCTGCTTTTGCCTTAAAGGTGTGCACCACTGAACTTAGCCCCTCTCTTGATTTTCTGAGACAGGATCTTACATTGTAGCCCACTATGACATGGAACCCACTATGTAGTACAGGATTTCCTTGAACTCAGAGCAGTCCTTCTGACTCAGGTTCCCTAGTATTGAGATGGGTATGAGCCACTATACCTAGACATTTGGGGTAAGGCACAGAGAGGACAGTGCCAGGAGGAGGCTTGGAGTAATGGCACAGACTTATAATATCAAGACCTGAGGGAGGATTTTGAGCTCAAGGCCAGCCTAGGATATACAGCAAGGACTTGTATTGAAAGACTAAGGGACTGGAGCTGTTGCTCAATGGTAGAACATTTGTCAGTGTGCACAAGGCCTAGGTTCTAACCCTAGCATGACAACATGAGAGAATACACTGGGGTGTAACCCACAATTAGAAGGCTAAGATAAAAGGATCTCAGGTACTAGACAGCCCTCTCAAAAAAACAAACAAAACAAGCAAAGGCAGTGGTGGACAACAAGAATAAGCACCTGAAACAGGAACCCCGCACTCACCTGCTGCCTGTCTCTCCCAGCAGAGTGTGGTATGGGGGTTAGGTAACATGGGGCAATCTAGGGCCCATCAGTTCCCAGCCAGGATTCAGGGTGCTGACTGAGGCTTTAGTCCCCAGAAAGTGTAGCACAGGTAACCCAGGAAACGGACAGCCAGATGGGCCCAGAGGAACAGCTGCAGCCACAGCTGGAAGGTGGTATCACCCTCACTCTCACTACTTCCAGACCCCAGATCCATCCCAGGCGGCCCTGGGTTCTCTCTGCAATCTTCACTTTGATGGAGTAACCAGTGCCTCTTGGTAAGGCCTGGGGGTTGGGGAAGGAGCTGGTTGCCACGGAAGCATTTAAAGGCACCTGCTCCAGCCTAGCCAAGGTCTGCAGAGGCTCTCCTTGGCAGCAAGAGGTGGGAAGATTCTCTACAGGGTATCCCTCTGCCTGGCCTATCCTTCCAAAGATGCCCATGGCTCCCAGAATGTCTTTCCCAGTGGTGCAGTCTGCACAATGTCCATGTGCCCAGAGGACTGCCCATGGGCAGAGGTGAAGGAGTTAAGATCCAGGCTCAGGCAACAGGTGCCAGCTCTCCAGAGGTTAAAGCCCCAGAGCTTGTTAATTAGCTGAAAGAACAGCCAGAAAGGAAGGCCAGGGTGGGGAACAGTGGCAAGAGCCACCTTATCTTCTCTTCTGAGTTTCCTTTTAACATGGAGCCCCCAAATCCTGCTACCCTGACAGAAATGAGCACATCTGGTTCTCTGTCTTGTTCCTCTGTAGGGGCAGAGAGGGGAATGGTGTCCCAGGATGTCCTTGGCCTCTGTCAAATGTTACCCTGCGCCTGGCTCTGTTCTCAACCATGAAAGTCCAAACCGGAAATGAATGGCTAAACTTGGGTGGGGGAGGGGAAGGTAGCTTTACTCATCCTCTTCCTTCTTTCCAGGCTTCCAAAAGCCAAAAGCTTTACAGCAGCTTTCCCAGGGCTGCCTGGCACCCATGGACGCTTGCTGGCAACAGGAAGTAGACAAGGAGAGTAGACCAGCAGCTGCTAGCCTGTGGAACTGCAGCCCTGCTCACTTCTCTCATTTGTACGGGAAAGGTGCCATTGGCCTCCACTCTCTGGATATTATGTGCTGAGAAAACTCCAGACACCTCTACGAAAGTCAGTGCCACAGCAAGACATGGAAATCACCTTGGATTCAGATATGGGATCATGGCAGCAGGCAAGAGTGCACTGCATCACAGTCCCAGTTTGAGGGTGACCCCCAACCCTAGGTCCCCTCTGTCTCCAGGCAGGGTTCAGGGTAGCAAGCTCTACTATACCCAGGTCTAAGGTGGACCAATCTTCATTTTAGGTTGATCCCCAAACTGGGTGGGACTATTCCATGTCCCTGTCTGAGCTGGGTAGACCATCTGCTCTAGTCTGAAATGGACCCTCTGCTCTTCCTTCTCAGGCCCCCAACCCAGGATGTTAGGAAAGGAGGGGTCTCGAGGGATACCCAAGGGTCCACAGACTCCTTCTCTCCACCTGCTCCCCTAAACCCTTATCACAGCCCCTCCCTAACTTAAGGGGCAGATAGTGCCTAGGAAGTTGCTATAGCAACAGGGCTCAGCCTCACCATCGTTGGAGCTGGAAGCCATCACTCAGTCTTTCTCAGGGCACTAGCACTACGGTGGCTGGGAAGCCTCATAAGATCTGCTGCACCAGTGTGGCTGCCAGTCCTCAGGAGGCCCTGCCTGTAGAGGGAGCCAGGAAGTTTTAGGGTAGGAACAGGAAGAGAAACTCAACCTGTAGACTAATGGGTGCAGGGGAGGGGCAGATAGAACCCTTCAAACTTCTGTTGGCCTGACTGGCAAAAGGCAAAGCTGCCTGGGAAGACCCTCTTGGGCACCCATACAACTGCCGACCCTCTGAAGCCTCTATAGGATATTAGAAGGCAACAAATCTTTCCATGCAGAAATGTCCTGAGGACATTCCCTAAATGACTATATCCACTTGTCTTGGGGACTTCTTTGGGGCTCCCTCTTTACCACTCCTGCTACTTTCCCTGTGGATCAACTCCCTGGGCTGTGTACTAGCGGAGACCTGAGCCCCACTTGGCTGTTAGTGCTGAGAGCCTCCCTCTGTCCTCTAGGCTTCTCACCCTGGACCCTGTCAACATCTGTGTCATTTTAGGGTGCAGACTCCACATACCTTATTCTGTACTGGGCTGCTTCTATATTCTTGCCCTTTTTTTGGTTAAGGAGGCAGTAAACCTGGGCCCTGTGATGGCAGTGCAGTGGACTGCAAGATGCCTGCTTAGTGCCTAGGCATCTTCCTGACCCCAGTGGGGCAGGCATGTGGCAGATGAAATGCAGGTGCCCCCTACAGGCTGGTGTGGCTACTGCCCCAGTCCTGCTTACAAGATAGTATCTGGCTTTACTTCTTCCTCTAAGCAGCTTCCTTCCAAGTCAGAAGGGCTTCCTTTCTTACCCTGTTCCTCTCTAGGGGTTGAGAGATGTTTCCAAAGTCTGCCTCAGGGGCAGAACACAAAGTTATTCTGGGGATGTTTCTTTCTCTTTTTTTCGAGGCAGGGTTTCTCTGCATAGCCTTAGATGTTTTGGACTTGATTTGTAGACCAGGCTGGCCTCAAATTCAGAGATCCGCCTGTGTCTGCCTCCCTGAGCACTGGGATTACAGGCGTGGGCCACTGAGCCCAGCCTGGGGATGTTTCAATATCCAGTTATACATTTAAGTGGTGCTGGGGTTGAACCTAGGCCTTGCACATATTATTCACATATTGTGCCACTGAGCTGTGTCTCCAGTTCTTATTTACTTTTTGAGATAGCATCTCATTACTTTGCCCAAACTATCTTAGAATTTAAAATTCTCTTGCTTTAGCCTCCCTAGTAGCTGGGATGACAAGTCTGTACCAGAGACTGTAACAGGCCTAGCAATCTCAGACTGCAATAGCTTAGGACCTATGAACAAGAAAATGAGGAGTTTTTATTTTTTAAAGGCTGTGTCTCCATTGTGGCCCAGGTTGCCCTCAAACTCAGGTCCTTCTGCCTCAGTCCCTTTCTTGCTTGTTACAGGTTTAAGACACTGTGATGCTCGTATTTTTAAGTTTTTTTTGTTTTGTTTTGACATTTATTGTGTGTGTACACACACTTTTGTGGAGGTCAGAGGACAACTTGCAGGAGTCAGTTCTCCCCTTCTACCATGTGGGTCCGAGGAAGACAACTCAGACTGACAGGCTTGGCATCAAACATCTTTACCTGCTGAGCCATCTTGATGGACACAGGTTTTATTTGTATTTTGATACAAGGTCTTGCTGTTACTGAGCCAGCCTTTAGCTCTTGGATTGAAGCAAACCTGCCTCAGCGTCTCCTATGGCTGGTAGCGCCAATATACGCTATTAGGCAGAGTTTATTTTAATTGTTTTAAGTTAAGAAGATATGACTGAAGTTAAGTCCTGCAGATGCAGTTTAAGAATGTTTGCATTGAAGGCTGGATGTGGTGGCGCACACCTTTGATCCCAGCACTTAGGAAGCAAAGGCAGGTGGGTCTCTGTGAGTTGGGAGGCCAGCTTGGTCTACACATTGAGTTCCAGGCCAGGTGGAACTACAGACTGAGACTCTGTCTCATAAAACCAAAATAAAATAATGTCTGAGTTGAAACATCCCGGGGTCCAGGAGATCTGGCAGTAGACAGTTCTGGATGTGAATTCTGCCTATATGGTGTCATCTGTGTAAACTCAGATGGCTCATTTGGGCAAAAATCATCAAAGTAAGCATGAAGACCAGTTAACTTAGCCCTCCTGAATGCATGTTAAGCAGTCAATGGATTTCATCCCAATGGTTCACTTCTGAGCAGCTGGCCAACTCAGAGACTCTGATCTTTTTCTTGGGATCTTTCCTCCTCTGTGGCTCTTAGTTCCTGCTGTATGGGTCTGATATGCTTAAAGCTTTCCTAGCAGTATATCTAAACTTTCAAAGGGGCCACTGCAATATACAGTCCACTGAGTGTACCATCTACCTCCTGTTGGGTATCACCTGCCAAGGGGGCTGGCCCTTCCCCTTCTGCCTGGGCCCCTCCAAGCTCAAGGCCAAGACCTTTTTGGGCACTACCCACCTGCTCCTCTGTCATCAAGCCCTCAACTACAAGCACTTGCCTCTCTGTCCCCTGCGCATCAGTGAAATGCCAGGCCTCTTAAGGCTGCTCTGCTGGGCTGAGCTCTACTGTTTGAAAGTGGGGGAAGGGCAAAAAGTTCTTGGTCTTCCATGGCATTCTGGGGACTCAGATACTGAAATGGGCAGAACTGATCATGGCCTCTTCTTTGGGAGGTCTGAATACTTCTGGGTAACTGGAAGAGGTTCTCAGCTGCAGTCCATCTTTAGCTTGGAGTTACACCACTTTAAGAGATGGAAGTATTGGGGGACAGGGCCCAGGTCTCTTTATGAATGTATTTCAAATGCACAATTACTTTCTTTCTCTGGCTGGAAAAGTTCAGCATGTTTAGGGGTAGGATGAGCCCTGTGTATGTTCGGAACCCATCTGTCTCCAGCAAACCAAATCATTAGCTGTCACCTATTGCTGGATAGTGGTACCCCACTTTTGCAATTCCTCTTTCTGACCATTCCAATTCAAGTTGAATGAGCCCTTGCTAACTCAACATTTCATCCTCAGCCTTGAACCAGGAGGAGTGAAGCAGTCCCAGGGACTGGGTGAATGACAGAACCGCAGTTGTGAAATGACCATTTATTGAGGGGCCTTCCAAGGAGCCCAGACCTCAGGCCAAGCCAGGAGATGGAAGGGTGCTCTGCTGCCTTCCCCCACCACAACCCAAGAAAGAGGACAGACGCAATGGCTCTGAGCGAGACCAGCTCCAACTTGGATCTGGGAGCGCAGAAGCTCTCTAGGTTCGTAAACAGTCTGCCACCCCAGCCGGGCAGACGATTGAACTGAGGAGGCAGAGTGACAGGATGAGAGGGGCAGAGGGACCCAGCAAGATCTTGTCCCCCATGCCAAGTGACACAGAAGGTAAAAACAATGCAGGAGGTGGCTCTGGGAAATGCTCATGGGGGCAACTGGGGCTTGGAGGTGGGGGCTGTGACTAGGTGAACCGGGCAGGGGTAAGAGAAAGATGGCGGGGGCTGGAGGGGGAGGGGTGTGGTCACCAAGTGGCCAAGGTCCCTGCAGAATGGACCCCACAGCACTCCCGAGACTGGCAGGAGCCTGGATCAGGGTCCGGCATTGGGGCGCTGTGTGGGAAAGGTGAATGGCGAAGTGGGGGTAGAGTTAGAATCTGGGAAAAGGGGCTAGGAAAGGAGGGAGTGGGGTGGTGAGAGGGCCCCATCTGGGGCCCGGCGGTCATACATGCAATGGTTGGCAGTGACAGCTGGGTGGGGGGGCATGGCCTTTGCAGTAGGGGATGATCGGCCATGGGCACGGGGGCCCTCCCGGGGGCAAGGTACCTCTGCGGTGCTCGGACTCCAACGAGGACAGGCAGCGGGCAGGGGTGCAGACAGACAGGATTGGGGAGGCATATGGGGGAGGGGCCATGCAGTGATGGGCACGGCACGAGCAGGCCGCACGCAGGAGAGATCAGGGTGACGACCGGGCACTCACCGCTCTCCTGCTCGCTGCCCTTCTTGGCGGCGGCGGCGTTGCCCATCGCGGCGGCGTCGCGGCCGGGGCCGGTCCCGGAGCTGCGACGCGGCGGGTGCTAAGGCGGCCGGCGGCCCGGGAGCGCGCTCGGCAGCAGAGGCGGCGGCCCCTGGGGCTGGCTGCGCTGGCTGCGGCGCCACGACCCCCGCCCAACCCCTGCTTCCCGCGTCTCTCTGCGCCCGCCCGCGGGGGAGCCTCAGCCCAAGTCCTCTGTCCGTGACGCCCCCGCAATTTGTTACCCATTGGTTGAGGACTCCCTGACTGACAGACGTACGCCGCTGTCCATTGGCTCTCCCGACTCCTCCCGCGTCACCATTGGCTCCCTGATGCGTGACGCGCGTTGCGAACGTTCGGCCACTCAGAGGCTCGTGAGGCCGCAGTCGGGCGGGCGAACGCTCGTCATTGGCCGAGAAGCCCGATAAGGCTTGGGACTCGCCCTAAGAGGCCGCCGATTGGCGGAGACGCGCGGCCCCGGCCGGTGTCAGTCCCAGGGTGAGAGGGCGGGGCAGCAGCACAGGCTGCGGCCCTGGCGGCGGGCGGGGCGCAGGCTGCGGCGGCCGTAGCTGGAGGGTGGCTGGGTGGCCGGCGCTGCGAGGAGCGGTAGGCGGCCTGGGTGGACGCCCGGGCGGCGCTGTGTGCGCCGCCGCCTTCCGCTCCTGCCCAGTGCGGCGGCGGCCACGGGCCAGTGGAGATTGACACTACGGCGGGCGAGCGCAGCGGCTGTCCACCTGCCAGCGGGGGGAGGGGCCGGCTGGCGCCGCGGGTCAAAGGTCGCCGGACGCCTTTCGGCGTCATTCATAAGGCTGACGCTGGGGAGACGGGGCGGGGGGAGCCGGCGGTCGGGGAGAACCGGCGGGGGCGGGATGCTGGACCCAGAATTGAGGGCGCACTGGGAGGGAACTCTCAGTGTCCAGTCTTTGCTGTGGCCCAACCCCGAAAAGTATAACGGACACTGGCCAAGTACATGACTTCTTGTTCTTAGCACTTTGGTACTGTCATACTCCCATTTTACGGAGGTGGCACGGTCAGACTGGTTCCTTGCTCTTAACTAATCATCCTGGACATCGCCAGCATAAACTGCCCTCTGTGGGCAGGCAGAGAGCCATTCTCCTTCCTTGTTGTTGCCCGTCTTTAAATTTTATTTTTATACAATGCTTGGGACTGAAGATGATGCCCCATTGAGCTAGAAACTCACCCAGGGCACTCTTTTTAAGTCTGCACTGTCAGAATGTGGTCGGTTTCCTGGGCCACTGACATCAGGAGCCTGAGTGCTCTGTGGAGTGCTGTTCAGAACCCCCACCCTCACACTGGATGCTAGTACTCCTCCATTTTTCTATTGCAACATAAACCATCTCCAGACACTGCTCAGTGTAGTCTGGGAAACAAACCCCACCCCCACCAGAGGACCTCTGTAACAGAGGGTGGCCAGGGTGGAAGGTGCTGAGGGCACAATGACTCCAAAGGGTAGTTGGCCCTGAGTTACATATACCAGAGACTCACTGCTCAGCATGAGTGTGCTCAGCTTCTAAGCCAGGAACTACAGAACTGCTACTAGGTCAGCTGCAGTCCCCTACAGGGAAAGCACCCTGCCAGAGAGTGGGGCTTCTTTGGATTATGAAAGCTGGCTGAGCAGACAAATGTTCCATCTCTGATTTGAGGAGTTACACCACAGCTAAATGAAATTATCTAAATTGTGGCTGTGTGTGTCCTTGGGTCACACTATTGCTCTATGCCTGTGGGTCAAGGTCAGAGTGAGAAAAATCACTGGCTATCATCTACTGGGCAGCTGGTATACTTAAGCTTGAACAAAAAAACAAAACCCACAAAAAACAAAACACCTTGGGCAAAGAAAAATAGTCTTTTACCCTCAGCGTGTGGTGCAAACTCTACAACCAGGTGAGACTGAAATACGGAAGCAAGGAAGGGGAGGAAGGACAAGAAGTCACCCAGGAAGGTGACAAAGCTACTCAGGTGTAGGAGGCAAAACAAAACAAAAAAAAAAACAAGTATTAAAAGAAATTTATTTTTTTTTAACGGGCTAGATGACTTAAGAGCACTGGCTGCTCTTCCAGAGGACCTGGTTACAAGTCCCAGCTCACATGGGAATTCACAGCCAGTTCTAGGGGTTCCAAAGCTCTCTGTGGCTTCTGCAGACACCAGGTGCTCAGGTGGTACACAGCCAGCCTTACAGGCAAAATACCCAAACACATAAAAACTTTTAAAAAATGTTTTAAACCAGGCAAGGTGGGACACACATTTAATCCCAGAACAGGGAGGCAGAGGCAGATGAATCTCTGAGTTTGAGGCCAGCCTGATCTCAGAGTAACTTCCAGGACAGCCACAGAAACCCTGTCTCAAACAAACAAAACAAAAAAAGCCAGGCACAGTGCATGCCTAGCACTTAGGGAGGCAGAGGCAGGCAGATATCTGTGGGTTTGAGGCCAGCCTGGTCTACAAATAAGAGTCCAGGGCAGCAAGGCTACAGAGTAACCCTGTCTTGAAAAAACAAAAACAAAAACAACCACATTAAAAAAAACCCTTTCTGGGTATGATGTTGCACACTTGTTAAAAAAAAAAATTGATTACTTTATCACTTTGTATTCCAGCTGTAGCCCCCTCCCTCCTTCTCTCCTATGCCCCTCCCCCAGTCCAATGATAACATAGGTCCTCCTCCCCTTCCATCTGACCCTAGTCTATCAGGTCTCATCAGGACTGGCTTCTTTGTCTTCCTCTGTGGACTGGTAAGGCTGCTCCCCCCTCAGGTGGAGGTGATCAAAGAGCCAGCCCATGAGTTCATGTCAGAGACGGTCCCTGTTCATATTATTGGGGAACCCACTTGGACACTGAGCTGCCATGGGCTGATGTTGTACACTTTTAGGCAGAGGCAGGTGGATTTCTGAGTTTGAGGCCAGCCTGGTCTACATAGTGAATTCCAGGCCTGCCAGAAATAAAAAAACAAACAATCTAGATGAAGTGCTTTTATTTTTAAACCAACCAAACTTTTAATATAAAAACTTTTAATATACACACTGCAATCACAAAAGCGTACACGTAGCAGCAAGGCTTAGAGTAGGGTGGATGGAATAGGAGTTTTTCAAGTCAGCCTGCTAAATGCCTCCCTTATCCCAGAGTACCGGGTAGCTCATAAAAACATGTGGTCAAAGCAAACCCTGATGACTCCATGGGGCCAGACTGCATGAAGCAAGACTTCCAATATGCTTCCCACCAATATGCCTCCAACCTAGGTCAGTCCTCTCAGAAAGCCAGGCTCAGTAAGATGAGACGGTGGCTATGACCAAAGAACCACCATCTCTCCCTGGCCCGGGGAGTTCACCTTTGGGGAGTTTTTTACTGAATGACCTAGACACCCTGTGGACAGTGGTGGTACTGAGTTGGCCTTCTAACTAGGATCCCTTGCCTGAGCCTGAGCCCCCAAGAACTGGCCAAGGCTAGGCAGGCACTGCCGAAGCAAGCCTCAAGGCAGGTTGTGTTCAGAGAGCTTCTCACAGAAACGGATAGTGTAGAAGAAAAAAATGGCACAATGAATGAGCAGTACAAGTACCTTCTTCTTAGAGGCCTGTAGGTCATAATAAGTGAGATGAGTCTCCTGGACCTGGGTGGAATAGATCAGGACCCATTTTCTCCTTGGGGCTGATAGGTCTGGAGGCAGCTGGTTGTCCCCAAAATCTTGAGCTAACCAAGCATGACTGTCTGAGGGCCCGTAGGTCCCCTCCAGGTGTGCAAGGAGACTGCCATGGTCCTACTGAGCCCTGCTTGGACCCCCGTCAGATGCAATCCATGGAGTTCTCGGGGAGGAGGCCTGGGATGCAACTAGGGAGGCCCAAGCTTTTGATGGGAGTGCAACTGAGGGGAAGGCCAAAGTCCAGGTTGGGGTCCTGGTTCTCTATGGCCTCCAGCCTGTCTGGGTTGTTGTCCCAGTTGATATGGAATCGGGTCACCCGGGGATTAGAGGCCAAGATGTTCCGCTGTAACTGGAGTAAGAAGAAGAACGTCAGCCCCTATCACCCACGTGTTTATCATTCCCTCAGACCTCCACTTGGAAGTAGCAGACTCTACCACCCCTGCCACCCAGATGCAGAGATACTTATAATTGTGGGTAGGAATAGGGCCTTCTCATCTTGGTTTTGCTTGGCTTTGTTCATTTCTTTTTGGGTTGTTTTGAGAAAGGGTATCAACTATGTAGCCCTTGCTGGCCTGGAACTCTGCACACCGGGGTGGTCTTAAACTCACAGAGATCTGCCTGCCTCTGTCTCCCAAGTGCTAGGGGTAAAGGAATACACTATTATGCCTGGCTTGTTTGATTTTTTTTTTTAAACAAGTGTATGGGTGTTTGGCTGCACGTATGTTCGTGCACCATGTGTGCCTGGTGCCTTTGGTAGCCAGAAGAAGGCATGGATCCACCAAAACTGGAACAACAGTTGCTTATCTACCACCATGTGGGTGCTGGGAATCAAAGTTGGGCTCTCTGGAAGAACAGCAAGTTTCTTAAACACTGAGCCATCTCTCCAGCCCATTTTATTTTATACATATTATTTTTATTGTATGAATGTTTTGCCTATATGAATGTCTGTCACGTATGTGCCTGATCCCTGTGGAAGTCAGTAGAAGGCATAGATTCCCTGGAACTAGAATTAAGGGTGACTGTGAGCCACCATATGGATGCTAAGAATCAAACCTAGGTCCTCTGCAAGGGCAGGATGTGCTCCTAACTGCTGAGCTCTCTCTTTAGTACCCCCCCCACACCTAGTCTTGCTATGTAGCCAAGTTGGTGTGAACTTCTTATGTAGATGAGGCTGGCCTCTAACTTATGATACTCCTGGCTTAGCCTTCTGAGGGCTGGGGTGCTGAGATAATAGAATATTCCACTGTCTCTAGTTTTAGTACTCATGCCTCAAGAAAAGACTTATTCTATCCTAGCTCTACCTCAGCAATGCAGAAACAGCATGACCTGTTAACCTTCTCTGACCTTGGCTCCCATCCCCCTCAACTAAAGGAACTGGCCTAGCTGAAGCAGGAAGTACAGAGTCAGGCCCCACCTGAGAGAAGTCTGGCTTTTGGGGTGGGTTCTCCCGAAGCTCTGGGTTTGGGTACTCATTGTTGACATAGTAGCCCACACGGATGAACTCCTGTCCATGGTAGGTGCAGGTGATGAGAACCACAGTCACACCCACGGCGTCTGTCTCAGGAATGAGGGATGGGTTTGGGGCATCAGCCTGGGAAGACATATCCTGGGCTTTAGCAGTGCCAATCACAATCAAATGTTATTAACACAAAGACTACCAATGAACTGGGACTAGACAAACTGATAACACAGATGACTGACTATAAAGATCATGAATTTGATTTGGCAGCATGCTTATCCAGCATGCATAGAGCCCTGTCTTTATCCTTAGTCTCTAGTAATTATAACAACAATAAATTAAAAACTGCTGGATTTGATTAGGAGACAAGGGTGTTATGGTGGAGTGTGGTAAGCAAGGGGATTGACATGAGATGAAGCTGGTCAGGTGGATACTAGGCAACCCAGGCCTGTGGGGTCAATTAATGGCTTGGGAAAGAGCAGTGTTTAGTGGGAGGTAAGGTCTGAAAAGACTGGTGTCTTGTAGAGGTCTGGCTGCAGCAGAAGTATGGATGCCAGGCAGGGGTCATCCTGGAAAGGGGCAGTAGCCTAAACCCAACAACAGGGAATAGAATCATGGATCAGGGTGTTCGGTGTTGGACAGAATAGCTATATGAAAACCAATGGAAATGAAAACACACACCCTTAACCCAGAACCACAGCAGAGAGGTCACCACCAGCAGCGTCCTGTTCCAGGGCCAGGCTGCATGCTCTGGAAGGAGACTGTAAACACGGAGCTCAGTGGGCTGGACAGGTAGGAGTGTCAGGGGCAGGTAGCTTGAAATAGGGGAAACCAGTGGGAGATAATGGATAATGACTTACTGAGTATCCACTGATAAGCCTGGTGACACTAGACAGTACTACTTGAAAGTCACAGCCCATTTTCGGATTCACTGATTCTGAGTTTACAAATCTGGCAACCCGATACATCTAGAAACTTCAAAATTAACTAGTGTAGTACTTTCATAATTGTTTTTACAAACATGTACAGAGCAAGGGAAAACCCTGTGCTCAGGCTCCAACATGGTACCAAATTAGGGGCTACTTGACCTTCTTGCCTCTGCTTTCAATACAAAGTACAAGGAGGACCCTATTGACTATTGATCTAGTGTCAAAATTCTAAAGTTGCTTATGGTTCCTGTATGTCAGGATAAAAACAGTTCTCCTACACATACCAGCTACCACAATATTTTGTCTCTCTCCTTGCATAGAAACACAGAGCTAAGCAACCATGAATGGAACCCTCTGGAACCTTTCTTTGCTACACTGCCAACAATCCCAGAGCACAATGCAAACACTAAGTTTTATATTCATCCTCACCTTTACTACACATCCTTGTATTTATGAAGACAGGGTATCACTATGTATCCTTGGCTGGCCTAAAACTCAGAGATCTGCCTGCCTCTGCCTCCTGAATGCTCAGATTAAAAGTGTGCCACACCCCACCTAATTGGTTTTAACAGCATTTGGCTGTGTTGCCTAGGCTGGCCTTGAACCTGAAGCAATCTTTTTCTCAGGATTCCACATACTGAGACCACGAACAAGTACCACTAAACTCAGCTACCACCTTTAATAGAAACTTGAGTACTTCCTTGATTCATTATACATGCAAATGTTTAACTCACTTATGCCAAATGCTTTATTGAGATGTCCTAAAATATATAATCAGTGAGTAAAGATTTACATCGCACAATAAATAAGACAATAAGTAAATAAGATCTCCAATACAGTGCTGAAGTGCTCTGTGCTGGGTAGGCTTTGTTCAGACACGGGTTAATGCTGCTGGCTGAGTTCATAATCAGCATTTACTATACTAACGTATTTGGAACAGGGTCTTACTGCAGAGCCCAGGCTGGATCCAAGCTGTGTGGGCACTACTGTGCCTAGCTCTGGCTGATGAACAAGTAACAACAAAACCTCTTAATCCTTATTCTTCCTTGAGGGGAGTAATTCAATATTCATGAACTGTGTTCATAGGTTTTGTACAACTCCTATGAACAGATCACAAATTAGTGGACCTGTGGTCACTAGGAGCTGTGACCTAGAGGTTGGGTGAAGATGAGACTGGGATAGCTTTCCCCAGGCAGCTCCTAGCAGTCACCCAAAATATGTGACTCAGGTAGGCCTTGAACTTGTGGTCCTCCTGCCTCATTGTCCTGAGTAGCAGTTCTAGCTCGTTAGGATTTGTTGAACTTGAACCTGACTAAAACTAGTGAGCTTTTCAGGTAAAGGAGGAAGGTTCTAGGCTGGGGTAGGGCTTAGTGGTGGAGTGCGATGTCTGGCATATGGCAGGCCCTGGATCCATTTCCAGCTTGAAACATTTCTGGCAACTTCCTTACCTGAAAGATGAACATATGTCTTCCTGCAGGGACAGGGCCCACCAGCACTGAATCTAGGACCTGATCAAACTCCTCGCTCTCAGCTGAGCCCACATAAATGATCTTCCATTCCAGGTCTGCAAGCACATGGGGATAAGGGAGTTGGCGACTGAAATAGCTGGAGAGCAAGGCAAGGGTCTTCTTGTTAGTTTCAGGCAAACCTGAATATACTAGAAGTCCTATGAACTGGTGTGTTTGCTGGGTGGTAGGCTCTGGCACTGTCTTGAATTAGAGCAAGTATGAAGATCTACATTAGTGGAGGCATTTTTCCTGTGGGCCCAACTGTGCCAAGTGACCTTGACTCCAGCCCTCCAAGGAAACTTAGGCCTGTCAATAGCAGAGAGAAACTACACAGCAGAGGCTGACTCAAGAGTCCTGTGACACTGGCTGGTGAAAGGAACAGCAGGGAACTGGGCTACTCTGGGACCCTGGTCTCTGGGTAGGAAGTGCCGTCTTCTTTCACAGAGGGATTAGTGTCACCAAGTAGAGCAGATCCCTTGACAACTGGGGCAGAGTGGCAGATTCCAATCCAGCAGGAGAGCCAGGTGGCAGGAGGAGAAAAATCAAAGCTGCTGGGGGAACCAACTTCTCCCAAAGTTGTCTACATCTGGCACCAACTCATGCCTACTTGTGCACATTGTGGGACAGAGGCTCTGCCAGCAAATGGTGTGTGACATACCTCCAAAACCTGACTCTGTACTTCATCGCTAAGGGGGCTCAGTCCTGGAGTATACCCACAAGAGATGAAAGAAAAGTACCTGGAGACCATTCCCATTAATCTCAGAAGATCCCTGGTGCCCATAGCCTCTTGCAGGAGGGCCAAGTGCTACCAGGAGCAAGGTCATGCTAGTACAGAGAAGCTTGGCATCAGACCCAGAACTTATTTTAGGCTCTTTGAAATTACACAACCCCTAGCTCCAGCAGCTGGGAAAAGTTGCACAAGCTGAGATTTTCACAGGGAGCTCTTGGAAGCTGCCTGGCCCTTGGTCTGGTATGGCACAGGCATCCAACACTGGAAGCACAGATAGATACCAGATCATACTATGGAGTCAGTCACCTGAGCCACAGAGCCTTCCTCGATACATCCATTCCCTTGTCCCTTTACAATTTCATGTAGGTCCTTCTTGTTTAAGCCTTATTTTCTTGTGTGCCTTTCCAAAGCTTGTTTTTCTTTTATGTGTATGGGTGTTTTGCCTGAATGTATGCCTGTCTATCAGGTCATAGCTCCCTAGGTGCCTAGAAGCCATCTGCTGGAACTGGTGGTACAGATGGTAGTTAATCACCATGTGGGTGCTGGGAACTGAACCTGGGTCCTCGGGGAGAGCAACTTGTCTCTAACTACGGAACCGTCTCTCTAGCTGCCCCTAGCTATTTATTCAGTAGCAGTGCTGGCGATGCACTCAGGGCATGCACATGCCAAAAAACTGCTGAGCCAGGCTCCAGGCTCCCAGCCTCTTGGATTTAGTTTTGTAAAAAGTGACACACCAGAATCAATGATTCTGGAAGGACAGAAAAGTATGCTACCCTTGCTTGCTCTTACCTGCTGAGATGGCTGTGTCAAACTCTTTCTTCAGGCCTCTTCCCCAAAACCCATGGAGTCACATATTCATACATTTAATTAATGTGCTGGAGAGAAGGCTAGGCAAAAAAAAAGTTTGAACAGAAAAGTCCTTTGTGTCCCTAAGGCATATGACATTGCTTAGTCTACGTCAATACTTTTTGGCAAAACCTATTGAAAGAAAAAATATAATATATGCTGGAAGCAAACAGATGGTGAAGTCCTGTCTTGTCCTGGGCCAAGAGACAGACTGGAGAATTCATGAAAGACCACATAAAATAACAACTAAAAAGTGAGAACTGATCAAATTATCTACAGAAAAAGATGACTGAAACAAGGGTCCATAAACTGCAATCATTTTTAAATTTAATGAAGTTCTTTTTTTAAAGTTTAGGAAAGAACTCTTTTTATTATGTGTAGTGTCCTGCCTGCATGTACACCTACATGCCAGAAGAGGGCACCAAATCTCATTATAGAGATTTGTGAGCCAAGATGTGTTGTCGGGAATTGGACCATTGGAAGACCATCCAGTTCTCTTAACTGCTGAGCCATCCCTCCAGCCCCCTTGATAAAGGTCTTTTTATATTTTCTTCCTTCAAAAGGTAGAATTGTATTGGTACATGCCTTTAATATTAGCATGTGAGACACAGCTTTAAAAAAAAAAAAAAAAGAAAGAAAAGATAGGTTTGGGCCTGAGAGATGGCTCTAAGGGTTAAGGAACTTATCACAAAACCTAAAGATGAAGCTCACTCATCAAAACACATGACAGAAGGAGAGAACTGACTCCAGCAAGTTGTCCTGACCACCACATGCATTAGAACACATACCCATCTGCAAAAGCAAAGGAACAAATGACAGGGTCTTTCTATGGAGTGTAGGCTAGTACAGAACTTACAACATTCCTGCAAGCCTTCCAAGTATTGGGATTATGAGAGTGCACCTATGTGTGTCTCTCATCGAGTCTGGAGCTTGCTTTGTCAGCTAGGTAGGCTAGTGGCCAATGGACCCTTGGGAGTCACTTATCTGTACCTGCTACACACTCCCCCACTTTTACCTGAGTGCTGAACAGCCAAACTTCCTTTCTGATACTGGGATGCAGTGTTATGAACAAAGAGAAAGTAAAGATTTCATTTCAGAATATACTCAGCTTTTAGCACCTGAAGGTTATGCAGCCATAAACTCAACCAAGCACAGATAGAAAATAAAACATCTGGAGCTGGGCAGTGATGCACGCCTATGATCCCAGCACTTGGGGAGGCAGAGGTAGGCAGAGTTCTGGGAGTTTGAGGCCAGCCTGATCTACAAAGTGAGTCCAGGAGAGCCAAGGCTACACTGAGAAACCCTGTCTCAAAAAAACAACAAAAAAGCAAGCAAGCAAAACAATCTAGGGTGGAAGGCATAGCCACATCTAGCACTCATGATGCCTGGGTTCCATTCCCAGCACCAAACACAAACACAAGTTTGTGCTGAATATGAATATGTACAACTTATCTTTTTTAAATTTATTCTCACATTATGTATCCCTGGCTGATCTAGAACTCAGAGATCCAGCTGTCTCTGCCTCTTGAGTGCTGGAATTAAAGGAGTTTCATTTAATCTCTAAACATAGTATAACAGGTGTTTCTACAGCAACTGACACTAAGTTAGAATAAGTCACATCAGGATGGGAAAATGACTCGGTATACAGTGCTTTCTATATAAGCATGTAAAAAGGTATAGTGGCTTATATAAGTCCAGCCTTGGAAAGTGGACATGGGATTGTTATAATGAACTCACTAATAAGACTAGCCATGCCATCAAACCCCAGGTTTAAGAGACCCTGTCTCAATGAATAATAAATAATAAAAATGATCAACTGAAGATGATTCCTGACATCAACCCAGGAACTCCCCTGTATACAACCTGCCTACCTCATCTCCCACAAAAAAAAAAATGGAAAAATAAAAAAGTCACTTGTACATGATTAGCCTTCATGGAGGGGCTGGACACTGTGGTACACACCTGTAACCCCAGCACTCTGGAGATAGATGTAGGAGGATCCAGAAATCAAGATTAGACTCTTATTACATATTAAGTTCAAGGCCAACTTAGGCTTCATAGACCCTGTCCAAACAAAAGAAAAAAAAGAAAAGAAAAGAAAACTAGACTAATAAATAGTCTATGGGAGACTGTGCAGGTTCTCTGCAAACACTGTACCATTTTGTAAAAGGGCCTTGATACTGGTACCTGAGGGACTTTTCTGAAAGCAGTGATGAACACTATTTCTTCAAAAGTAGGTGTGGACAATCAATCATTCATACAGAAAAAAACTCACACCAAATACAGGATATTTTTTTCTTTCTTTCCTTCCTTCCTTTCTCTCTCTCTCTCTCTCTCTTTCTTTCCTCCCTCCCTCCCTCCCTCCCTCCCTCCCTCCTTCCTTCCTTCCTTCCTTCCTTCCTTCCTTCCTTCCTTCCTTCCTTCCTTCCTTCCTTCCTTCCTTCCTTCCTT